TCCTGAGTCATCTAACATTTATATTATACTTTGCATATTTTTTGCATTTTTTTGATGTTGTGAAGTGCTTGAGTTATGTCTTTCTGCTGTGAAAAGTAACTCATTATAAAATGATCCAGGAAGCTAACAGGATAATGTGCATTTCCAAATAGGAAATCTTTATTTCTTCTTTATTTAGCTTGAAGGTAGAGATCCCAAAGCCTGTTCTCAAATTATCTTCATCTGGGTCAGTTGGTCTAATAACATCAGTTTGTTATTCATTACTCAATTTTAATTAATCTTCTTTAACTAAAATCACTATTAAACTGCTCTAAGATTTTATTTTTCATTGAGAATTGAGTTAGCCTTATCTGAAATGAACAGAAACAGGTACTAAATTAGTTCTTCAGCATTATCTGAGAGCAAACATTTTGAGATGGTACGGAATTTATCATCGGGAATTCCCTTTGGAGAGCTTGAATCAACTGTCCTGGCTATGTCTGCTCCCAAATTCTTGCACACCACTTCCTCAATCACTTTGGGGATAAAGTAAAAAAATAGAAAGCTTTGAGGATGTGCAAGCATTGTTCATTAGTAGATAAAGCATTGCTGTATTATTAACAATAATAAATTATGGATTTATCCACAAATCCAAAACTTGGAACCATAAGGGCTCCTATGAAGAATGTTAACTGCATCCCAGCCAGACCCCTTACAATCATGAGAAGAAATACTTAAAGGTTTTTGTACATATACAGAAACATGTACTTAATTATGTTTGTGTCCCATAGTTTCCTAAACAACAGACATTCCTCATCCCTCAAGAACAGCTATTTTCATTATTTTCTTAGTGACCTAATGTTTTTGCTCATACAGGAGCACAGAAGTCACCCAGCCATGTGGGTATAAAAATCTACCTGCACTGTAAGAGATGCAGACCTAAGGCCAGTTTGATGCTATTTTTAAATAGAAAAAAATTATAAATAGGCCACCCTTAATACTTCAGGATGTTTGACTGTAGATATATACTTATATCTTTTTCTTTATCTACTTAAGTATTTCAGAATAAAGACAAGGCTTGGTTTCATTTACTGTTTCACTCCTAGCAGCAGTAATTGCATGCTTTCACATGGTTTTCACTTAGATTCATTGATAAAATACATGATTTTAAGAAGAAGATTTATCTAGACACTGATTGATTTTGCCATAATTTAAAGTAATGTTTCATCTTCCTGGGATTTTACTTACACATCTCTGTTGACAATGCTTTCTCATAAACACAGACAAAAGTACCCGGAACAGTTTTAATGATAGTCTGGTATGTTGCTATTGCTCTTTCAGAATGATGCTCCTATTTCAGAGGCACTTAGGGTAAAGTGTTCTATGAAGGCTGATTTAATCTTCTGTGCTTAACAGGCCAGTACCTGGGCTGCTCTGACTATCATTTAGAAATCTTTCATATACACTCTCCAGTCTTTAGTGTTTAGGAATACTTACTTGATAGTAACATTTTTTCAGCTTTGGCTGTTGGGGATGAAACTTAGAGTTTCCACACTGCCATATGTGCTAATAAATTGGCATTGTAGAATTTGTGATCATTTTCATAATGGAGAGAAAGTGTTTCCCTTGTTTTCAGCTGTTAGGAGTAAGAGCTGTGATAGCTCTTTGTGCCCCCATAGTTGTTTGCCTTTGCAGAGGATACAGTACCTGGAAAGGAAGAAATATTTTGAAGTCCTTAAAATTAATACAAAGTATTTTTCTACAATTAAACAATCTAGTATGTTTTACTAAATCCCAAACCACTTATTATCATTGCAATGGCTGATTTTTAACAGTCTTATCCTTGGGACAACAATATCAGACTTACAATAGGTAAATCTTAGGTTTCTACTCTAGCAAAACAAAGCCATTTATTATATTTACAGATAAGTATACCTACATTTCTTTGTGCTGATTTTGCAGGAGATATGTCCTGAAATTACACTAGGATACTATATGTTATGCTAGTATACTAGAAGCACCTGGGTGTAGTGATAATAAATATATTTAAATAAGCATATACCTATGTAATACCTATGTAATATAGGGGTTTCAACACTCAGCAGTTCAATTGTTCATATATCTCATTTCTTTTTTTTATAGTGTGCATACATACTACATGCGCTTTGCAACACACACGGATTGACATGGACCAAATGTTTCAGGAATACATGAAATACTTTAACATCTGCATTTTCTGCTACTCAGGTTCAAGAAGTATTAATGAAGAAATGCTCAGCATATGCTCACTCTCAAGCCTCTCTGTGGCGTGCCAAACTGAGTGCCCAAACCAGTCATGTTGGGGTTTGACAGTGTCATGGGACTGAGCCTCATCCATGTTTACCTGGTGTGTGTGCAACATCACTGAGGTGTTGCACGGGTGAGTCAGGGACACTGGTGACTAGGGGTCAGACATCTCCACTTTTCAATCTGTCCCTGACAACCTTCATCCAGGGCCTTTATAAAGGAGAATTACAAGGTTTGTTTCAGTTGATTGCCTTTGTTAATGTCATGCACTCCAAAACTGAGATGTTAAATTTTTTATTTTCCAACCTAATTTCCCATCATCTCTGAAGGTGGCTTCTTTAGCCTTCCTCCACTGATAACAAAATGACTGCCATTAAATTCACGGTCTCCTCTCCTACTGTCCTTCACACTCAATTGATCTGGACCTGAATGGGTGCTAAAAACATAGGGAAACTATTAAAATTTTCTTTTCCAGGCACCACAAGAAAAGGAAGTACAGTAGTTTCAACTATTAATTTGGCAAAATAGACAAATTTACCTTAAATTGGAAGTAGATTTTTTCTGTCCTAAAGGGAAAAAATCTTGCTTATTTCTTTGCATATATTTAAATATCAATGTGGCACAAACATGTTTCAGATTAAAAATTACTGAAGTGCAAGAACTAAAGGAAAGTTCAATAGTAATGTAAGTGCAGCACAAACTTCTGTATAATACTTAGCTGTAGTATAACCTACATATTTACACCATGAACAAATCTGGTTTTCTTTCTTTAAGATAAAGAATCTGAAGGACATAGGAATCAGTCATTTGGGCACTGAGTAGCCCAGTCTCTGGAGATCTTCTCAGAGTCAGAAACATTCAAGTCAAGCATCAGGGAGAGGAGCAACACGTCTTCCGTGGAAAAGGCAAAAAAACTGCAGAGAAGCTTTAGCCTACTCTGATTCAGAGAGGACTTTTCTGCTTGTACACAATGGCCACTGGGACTGAAGACATTGGTTACAGCTAGAAAGAGGCAGAAACCTCGTTTCATGAAGTGATGCCAAAGGGAGATGTGTAGCCCCTCTGCATTTGTCTGGCTGTATCTGAGTTTGTGTCATTTTATGCAGTAGTGCACTTAGTGGGAAGCAATTACTCTGCTCTATTTGTTGGCCTCTGGTCCTAGCAACAGTGGCAAAATTATCTTTGAACAAGGTCTTTTTATAGGAATCATGAATATTTCTTTATCCTATAATCTCTGTACAGAAAAATCTCCCATCTGTGAATGATTTTATTTACCAATATGTCTTTTTTACTTGATAAAGGCAGGAGGTTCCTTTTAGCCCACCAGGGCTGACAGCTACTGTAGCATTTCAAGATATGCTTTTGACAACAGTGTTTTAGCAATTAAGGGCCAACACTGCATGACTTATCTCTTAGTCTTACTTTTTCATAATCAAGCCTGCAGTGACAATGTTTTCTGTTAGCTTTTTGGGGACTTGCTTCTCCTTGGGATCACACTTGCTCTCGGCTTCATTGCCCTGCAGGCTGACTAACATGGGTGCATGGTCATCCTGTTATTTTCCTGCGTGTGCTGTAACCAGCCATTTCCAAACAAAGCACAGTGTGCTAATGAAGGACATCTGCAGTTTATAAAAAGACATTTTCTGAGGCAAGATCAATGCTACACCCGTGAAGTGACAGGCAGGTTAGAGCAGTCACTGTAGATATGTCCCCTGGGGCATCAAGCATTGATCTGATGTGGATCACACACTCTACAGCTTAATCATAGAATCACAGAATAGTATGGGTCAGAAGGGACCTTTAAATGTCATCTAGCGACACCCCCCTGCAATGATAAGGGACATCTTTCTTTAAATCAGGTTGCTCAGAGACCCATCCAACCTGACCTTGAATGTTTCCAGGAATGGGGCATCCACCGCCTCTTTGGGTTACCTGTGCCAATGTTTCACCACCCTAAATGTAAAAAATGTCTTCCTTACATCTAGTCTGAATCAACACTATTTTAGTTTAAAACCCTTTCCCTTTATCCTATGACTTATCCCTTGTAAAAAGTCCCTCTATGGCTCTCTTGTAGCCATCTTCAGGTAGCTGCTATAGGTCCTCCCCAGATCTTTCTCTTCTGCAGGCTGAGCAGCCTCAACTCTCTCAGCCTGCCTGCATAGGGGAGGGTGGTCCAGGCTGCTCCTCATGCTCGTGGCCCTCCTATGAATTGCCCAACAGGTCCATGGAGTGCTCAGCAGGCCTGCTGGGGTGCCCGGGCGGGATCTGCCCCTCAGAGCGGTCAGAGACCGGGAGAAGACAAGACCCGATGCGTCCCCAGGCGGGTGGGGCGGAATCTCCCTTCACACACCCGCGCCCCCCTGTTCCTAGGCCGTTGTCCCGCTTGTCCCAGCATGAACAAAGGACTCGTTTTTAGGACGAATCAGCTCCTGGAGGTGCACAGAATTCCCCATTTGAACTACAGAGGGAGCCCGGGGCTGTGCTTTGGAGAGCGGAGAGCCGCGGGCTGGCTCGGAGCCGCGTCCGGCGCGGCCTCGGGCGCTCCGCTGCCCCCGCCAGGGAGAGCGGGGCACAGAGCTGGGCTACCAGCGTTCTACACCGCGGATCTGGCCGCCCGCTGGGTCCCGCTCTCATCCTGCACACTGCCAGCTCTAATCATTACAATGTTCTTAGCGTGGTTTGCGAGCAAACGAAACCGCGGGGGGCTGCTTCAGGCTCCCGGAACGTAACGCAGTGAGCGGTGAGATGGCTGGTCTTAATGGAAGCGTAAACTTCTGCAATACGCTGGAAACTTCTGCTCCTTTGTTTTCCCTGTGAGGTAAACAATTTCTGTCTGCTTTTATCCCTGGTGCGGATTCCCGTAAAACCTGAATACGATTTGCATTGCTCATCTGTCTGCACATTTTGTAACTTTTATGGCAGCATGTTATCACGTGCAATAGCGTCAAGATTTAAACACCGGGAATGGAAACCAGACGAAGAAGGAGATATGTGTGAGAAATAAATATGAGGGATAGAGTTTGTGGAGCTTTGTTTTAATTTTATAATCATTCCTTGAAACAGAACCTGGGTTAATAATCTAAACCAAAAGCATACAAATGAGGTATGTCTCAATGTCGTATTACCTCATATTCTTATTAAAATCTTCAATATTACATTCTTTTGTGATTAGGACCAGAGGGTTCAGCTTGCTAAAAAAGAAAGATATCAGTAAAAGTACTCATCTCCTTAATAAAGTGTATTCCAAAGGATAATTCAGGTTCACACAGAGCTAAATATGCTTTATATTCAGTACCGTCATGGCAAGTTAAAATATAGTTGAGATTAATAAAGCACAGCACAGCAGGAACAAATCATCTTTATCAATTCAAAGCCATCTTTTCTTTAACTTGGTGGAAATTAAGGAAGAATCAGAATTAATTGGTATCTGGACCAGATGCAGAAGACGATTTTGTGAATTACATCACCTCCATCTTATCTCTAATCTTTTAAGCCCTTTTTACCCAAAGGGCCTTTTCAGACATGCTAAACTGGCAGTATTATAAGGCTGCAGCAGGACAGTATTGCTATTCCAATGATTTATAACCAAATACTTCACTTATTAGCAAAGGCTAATACTGGATCCATCAGTCCAGACGCAAGTAAATTAGCCATTAACTTTCTGACACCTAGCATAAAACAGCCAGTTAAGTCTAGCCATCCGAGCAATTAATTTAGGTTCTCTTTGTGGACACCATGGGGATTTTAAAGTGGGCTGAAACTACTTGTGTATCTCTGTTGACTAATTTATATTAAATGCCCATTATTTAGACTATTGAAGCTAGGGAAAAATTAACTCTCCTCTCTTAGCTCTAGTAGGACCCATGTTCGCACAGGTATGTGTCTGCTCCTACAGGTTTCAGTGGAAGATACTTCAAGGTCTACGCCTAGGTAGCTTCTACATAACACTTTTCACCTTTAGATTATAAATGATTTCACAGAGGAAAACATCAACTTTGTTACTAAATTTTATATTGGGAAACTAAGGTACAGATTAAAATTAATTCTGTAATATCCTGTGAATATTTGATTGAAGATTCCTGTGAGGGAAATTACTTGGTCACTCTCCTTTCCAAAACTCAATGGCATTCAGGGAAACTGGCATACAAGAGATTCAAAACAAAATGGGAGTGGGAGCTGCACCCTGGCAAGTGAATCACTGCCAGGGTGCAGCCAGGACTGCCTCACAGCAGGAGGGAAGCTGAAAGTGAGGGTAATAGCAAGACAGGCAGAGGCAGTGTCCTCACTGGTAGAAAGATGGTCCCATCCCTTGGTACCCAAGCAGAGTGGCTCTAGGGAAGCCAGGGTCATCTCAGAGCCCAGTGACTACCAGACAGGTTTACAGAGATTAAGCAAATCTGAGGATATTCAAGCCAGGGCCAGTGAAGAAGTTCTGATGATGCACTGACAAATATTCCTTTGCACCATACATAAGTAAACTGAAGACCTGTCCCTATCGCTTCAAAGTTTAGCAAGCTTAAAAAACTAACAGGCAAAATTGATGAGGTAAAAAAACCTATCAAGAGCTGTTAAATTCAGCACTCGCATCTTCAGTGAAGGAAGCCTTGGTACTTTGACTTATTGGAGCCTTATTGGAGTAGATTCATTCAGGAATATTAGTTACACATTCGTCCCAATCCTAACCTTCCCTAGGCTCCTGCCATCAGAACACCATTGATTAACACTGCCAGTTTGGCCAGCCAGGCAGAGCTGTGGCACAGTACACCAGGTGTATGCTCTTGGCACAGCTCAGAGGTGGCTACCAACACCTCCTCCCTCACCTGGCTGGCAGCTCGTGAGCCATTGTAACTCAACTCCTTCGTAGCTGTATGGAGAGATGCTTCAGTTATACCTCCTCTACAACCAGGCTTCATATTCTGTTTTGGAGGATTTAGGTTTATTCTAATTACTGTTTTTTTTTTCCTTGTGTTTAAGGCTGTTTTGTCTGCCTGGGGTGATGACAAATGCACAGCCAAACTGAAATGTTGATATATCTACATTAAGAAAATGGGTGTATCTCTTTTTTTATGTAATTAAACCAATTATTTTTATCATTATGCTCCCACAATACTACTTGCCTATGAAAATGCATATAAACTTACCATGATTTTAGTCTTTATGCTTTTATTTGGTTTATGCTTTTTTTTTGTTTGTTTTTTGAGGAGGAACACAACAGAGTTCTTTTAGCCCTTCCCAGTTCCTTCCAAATCCATTTGCCAGATACATCTATATCTGAAAGTCAAGAAGAAATCCAGAAACATTGCATTTTTACTATAAATAGGGACTGAAAGGACAGTTTGGAAACAGGGGAAAGGCTGCAGTGCCAATCACTTCACTGCTTTTCTGGTGGCTCCCTATTCTTCTGGATTTTTGCCATCTAGAAAGAGTGATCAGGTTGGATTTTTTCATAGCTTGGCTGATCAAAGGAGATTATGTATTTGTAAAGAGAAATTCTAGAAATTTTAAATGGATATTCAGCTCCACTTTCCACCCAACAATTTTAAAATGGTCAAAGCTGTCTTCATCAAGAGAGGGATTGTTTACAAAAATATCACAGATTTAATTGTTTTATATATAGTTTCTTTTTGAAATCAGAGGAAGAGATCCTAAAAGATACTCTAAATACTCTCATCTATTTTGCTGCCAAGGCAAATTTACTTCTACCACATATTTGCTAGTGCAGTACTCAAATAACAGTGCTTGGAGCTGCTTCTGTCACAACCATGAAGCATCACTCACCCTTTCAACAGTGGCACCTTCTGCTCCCTATAGCCTAGAACAAGATTCTTCCAGGGTTCCCAACAGATAGTTCAACCAAGTAAATTCAAAATTACAAGTATTTGTCTGCAATCCACACAGATGCTTCTTGTCTTTTTTTGTTCATTTTATTTTTCTTTTTTGGTATAGCTCCAGTCAGGACCAAAACTGGGGATTACCACAAATTGTGCAGGACTGGAGTTTAGGAGGTCCTCAAATGACTACATCTAAAAGTGCTGCAGGTCACAGGAGAAAATGTATTGCTAATAAAATCCTTCAGCTGGAAAGAGATCAAATACAACGTGGATCACCAAACTACTTCAGTGCTATCCCAAAATTATTTTTGCATATAACAATGGCATCATGAATTTTTAGGAAGAAAACCTGGAGGAGGTGCATGTTTCATCAATAAACTTATTAAGTTAATCATTTTGGTACTCACAGGAAAATGGTATTGGTTGCCTGTGTGTCTTTGAATGCTTGTTGGTTTATTTAAAAATGTTTGCAAGTCCTGAACTTTACATTATTCTTGTTTCTCATTATCAGTTAATTGCCATCATTAATCATTGTTTTCTTGATTAAAAAGTAACAGTCAGTTCAATACCATGTGAAATGGATGACTAATCACAACTCAGGAGTAATAAAGAGTTGAAATAAGTGTTCACGAACAAGTTGTCATCTGTAATTTGTCCTCATAAACTAGTTGGCAAATACTTATGTGCAATGAATACTTCTATACAATCTAAGATGAGCTTGAATATGATTTATAAACAGGGAAAAATAGTTGAATTAATCTCATATTTCATTTGCAATAAATAATTTGGACAAATACAGTTATCAGAGGGGGGAGCAGAAGGCCTTTATGGAAACTATCTACAATGCAAATGAGTTGCCTTATGCTATCAAAGTTTTAAAGCGCCAGGTGCCGACGGAATTTAGCAATGCTGTTCTGTAACCCTAATAGTACTCCCACTTCAGAAGGTTTTGATAGATTTTTCTTTTCTCTCTTAATTATTTAATTGCTCTTTTTGCCACTTCATCTTTCTCTTGTAGTCATAGGGTGATAGATGGACTCCATGCAGACTGCACTGCCTATTGCTTCAGTATATTTGGTCCACCAGTATTAAATACTCTTTGAGCAGGATTCAGTTATCTATATTAAGGCATCATCTGTGACAATCTGAGATTCTTAGATTGTTAGCCTGTGGAAAGCTCATTGCCAGTTGGAGAGGGGCTGAAGACCAGCCGCAATACCTTAGGCTTCTCAAGTGGAATGTAGAAGATAGCACAGGGGCAGTTGATTGGCAGAAGAAACCTTCATTGCCTGTAATGAATCTCAGGAAACCTCACCTACATGTGAAGGACATATTTACAAACCTAATCTTAAATAGCCTAATCTGGATTAGTAGCCAGCCTCCAGAATAGTGACGTGAAACTCACTCATAGTCTTGCATTTTTATGTGCCCCCAAAAAAGCATTCTATCTCTGTATTTTCAAGTATTTTGAAAATAATGTGATTTTTTTGCATTCATCTGCACCGAAGTTCAAGCATCTAAATTCATTGATTACACAAGTTTTTTACTTTTCTCCAAAGGGATCAGTCTTTTTTCATGTTTTCTTTTTCTTGCCTATATGCCAGCATTCTGAGAGTCATTTTTTTTCCTCTATTCACATGCAGACTGAGCCCATTTCCCTTCCCATCCTGGTATAACACGGTACTATGGAAACAAGCTGTTTATGTAGTCTCTTACAAAACTAATAAAGCTATTAGCTAAGAGCATGGGTAATGATGTACTACATGATACATGGTGCACGTCTCTGAATTAGAAAAGGAGTCCCCAAAAGCTTACACAACATAATTGGGCAAAAGAAAGAACTTTTGCTTGTCAGGATCCTTACAACAGCAAGTCAAGAACTCACCTGAGTATTTTGCTTTTAAAAAAGAGAGTGATCTAATCCAGCTAACTTGGATGCTTTACTTGTACTCATATTTAAATTGCCAGGTAAAGAAGTTTTTCTGTA